GTTACCCGCGGGTACAGGGAGGCTGAATTTAAATTTGCGGGGTCACACGTGGGTGGGGAACGTTCCTTTAAATTTTCAACTCCCTAGCTTTTGTAGTTCCGAGTTGAAAGTTGCGGACAAGTTCCTGCGGACACACATACACACACAAACACATACAGACAAACCCGTGACAATATGCGTTTTGCACAGCTGTTACACAGCACAGAACGCGTAACAAAACACTGATATTACTCAAGGGACAACACTCTCTGACTACGTTATCCTTTTTTGGCGCACATTTTGCGGGTGTTGGTCCCCTTTCCCTCATCCTCTTTGGTAAGGTCAGATGAAATCATTTCGAGTAGTCAATTTTTTATGCGTATATGCAAATTGCAAAAACACACATTGGGAGAGGCTGTGTGTGTGTGTTTGCACTTTTTGTCACCCACTTTCAACTCGAGAGCCAGGCTAAAAGGCTGAAACTTTGGGAGTATGTACTCATACCATGCGCGACCCTCCCGTTTTAATAACATCGCCCTCCTATGCTTGGGTGCTGCGTACGAACGTCTTAAAAAAACATGCAAATTTTTCGGCGAAAAGGCGATCTCAAGAACCAGACAAGGTAAGGGGCTAAAACTTTGCAAGGATGTTCCTTGTGGATGTGTGAGCAAAATACTTCAAATTCAATCTCCAGTTGTGCGTGGTACTCTCATGATGGCGTAAGAAAGTTTTGACGGAAAAATTACCAATTCGGGAACCAAAAAAGCTAAAATTTTGGGGGAATGTCCCCTGCCAAAGTACAACTTGAATATTTCCAACCCAGCCTTCATGTATGCGTGGTTCTCACGTATAGGTACTTAAAATTTTTGACGGGAAAACTGCTCACTGAACAGCTAGCTAGGTTACATTCAAAGAAAGTCCGTTAAAAATGGAAAATGTTTATTTACTTTATGCAAAATTTATGGTGATTTACGCTAGTGAACGCAAAAAGTAGGTGTAAAGCAACAACCATTCGTGCAGTTGATGACCTGAGTACTTCAAGTCTGGTGCAAAAGCGCATGATCGCACCGGCAAGCCTGGTGCGTTTCTACCTGGGTTTTGTTTTTGAAATACCTGGGAAATATTCAGCAACGGGTGTGACAGCTCTCACGTTCGCTTGAATCTTTTCCACTGTGCTTAGATCCTTATCAAAGGTACCAATTGCGTCCATTGCATTCAAAGACCATTTCATTTTTTGCGCTGCCGCTTCTGGAAAACACTAGATAATAGGCTTTCAGCTTTACCAGCCTAAAATTTTGTCTTTTATTTATTTTTGCGTAAGAGAAGGATTTTGATGGGGTCTGAAGAGAGCCGAATTCAGCTGACCAATGCTTGTGTGTTTTAAGATATAAGGCACTAAGCTGAGTAACCCAAAAGTAAAGCAAGACAGTGTGGGTCGGAGAACGTTCCTGTGTCAAAGTTACACCGTTTTTACCCAGATACACCAACTAGGATAGCGTTCTTTGGTGTTTTCGGTTCCTAAAAAACGATTAAGCGGTGAGCGATAAAAACCAAAATGGTGCCTCAAGAAACAGCGAGTTTCCCGGATTTGCTGCTCAGTCCACTGTCTTATGAATGTACTTTCGGCGCTGTAACAGGAAAGGTAGTTTAGGAACTCACCTGCAGCAGTGGCTTGTGGAGGACGCTGAAACCAGCTTAATGGCAACTGTTTTATCGCAGTGATGCAAACGAAAACAATGTTATACAGAAAAGATTTATATGCTCAGTTGCGGTAAAAAAACGCTAATTTAAGTGGGTGCTAAACTTTTGAAATTTTCAGTAAACACTTAAAAGTCTATTTCTTTAGCATTTATGTCGCAAAACAGGAAGCCAGCAAGCCCATCCATAAGTGAGAGGGGACGGCGAGAAGAAGAGGAAGGGAAAACGGGTGAGGACATCAGTACCAACGAGTACTTTCGCCACTACTTTAATATACATGATACCAGGAACCATTTTTTATACAACTTCATATAATAATAAGAGCTGAGATAACGATGGAATAATAACAGTAACAGTAGTAATGATAACAATAACAATAAGAATAGTAATAACAATAGTGGCAATAACAATACTGATAGCCACATTAGGCTTATAGTTTTGAATTATTATGGAATTGTAAAAATGTACAAAATATGAGAAGAAACAGAAACGAAATTGTTAAAAATTAAGTTTAAATAATTGAAGAGGAGGGTTTGAAACTATTTTCACATCCAAAATATCCTCTCCTTCGGCTTTCAATTATGACAAAAGAAAACGATTTAGATTTTGGAAATTTGTTTTTCAGCCTTTGAGAAACCTGAACAGTTTTTTTATAAGTTCAAAAACACTCAAAGTGCTAACCAATATCATATTTGCAGCCTCTAAGCCAGCGAAGCAAAGCAAAATCGGTATCGTAACGTGGATATTTTTGCAGAATTGGCCCAACACGCTTTCGGAACTTGGCAATCTCTACTGCATATATGCTTCTCAGATCCTCACCACCGGTGCCGAATAGTTCATCATCACCCTCACTGGGCGCCATTACTCTCAATCCGAGCAGAACTGGAAAAAGTTTGGCATCGAAAGTTTTCCACTTGGCACGTGCTAGCACTCTGTGTATTCTCGAGTGCCTGTGTCTTGCAATGGAAGTATGAAGGAGATAATGATACTTTTTGAGATTTTATACACAATGAGTCAGGGATCTCGAATTACTTGGTTTTATGAATTATATAAATTATTAATTATATAAATTTATAAGTTATATGAACAGGCTTTTGATAGCTGAATTCCTCGTGTTCCCAGTAATAATTATTGTCTGGAAAGGCCACCTGATAATGTTTTTAAATTGCTGCCAGGCAGTCTTTTCAGGAAGCGCATGAACTAGGACAAGGATCACTTTTCCTCAAATGACTGTACCGTCTTGAGCGAGTTCAGTCCAGCATAAAATGCTACAAAACGAGAACGAAATGAGAAATAATAAGGGCAGCCATTGAAACGCAAAATTCCCACTGGCAACAAGAAAGAAGGATTAGATGTGTTGCTTCGCTGAACTGGGACACAAAATGCAAATAAAACCTCATTCATAATGACCCAACAAGCAATGACCTTTGTTGCACGCAGGGCATTAATGCAACATTTAATAAGAATAAAAGTTTGTGTTTCGCCAGAGCCCACTCTTTACAGCCACAAGTGGACTCCGGTGAAATACGAGCCATTTTAAGATAAACAGCAAGACAGGACATGGTAAAATATGTGATCCTCTAGTGCCGAAGAGAGCTGAATTATGCTGCAGAAACAGCACTGAATACCTTGCGGAATTAGGATTCGGGAAGTAGAGTTTTCAACGGATGAGATCTTATTTGCGCGTGCGTGAGACGCACTTGTTCTGCCTGCTCAGACAATCTAGCTTGGTAAGTATGACAACTGGGAATCGGAATTTGAAAATTCTCTGTTTGAGAGGAAAAATGCAAAAAGATGAATTAAATCTTGGGAGAACAGTCCAAGGTGAAAAATGACTGAAAAAATATCTCATCAGGTGTAAAATTTGTTTAAAACAAGGGTAGTTAAAAATAGGCAAAACTCTTTTAACAAGAAAAGATGCTGAGTTTCGAAATTTATCAAAAAAGTGCCGAAGAAAACCGCATTAAAAGAACTGGAGAAGAAAGTGGGTGGAGGCGTCACACGGGTAAAAGGTACCGAAAGTGCAATACGCCACCCTCGAATACGTCACTGCTGCGGTATATTTCAGCTGAATGGCAAAAGAAAATTTAGTTTCTAATTTCCTTCCCCGAAAATTGCGAAAACTGTAATTCTCCCCCTTCAAAACAAATTCTATTTACGATGCTTGCAGTATTATCCAACTGAAGAAAAAGAACTTTGCAGAATTCTGACAAACTGTATGAAGAAAGTAGTTCTTTGTCAGGAAAAAAGTGCCGCTGATCACGCGTTACTGATCGAGCGACACCTTTATACAAAGCAACAGAAACTGATAACTTAGGCTGAAACGTATATCAGACTTGCTGACGCGATCATGCGTTTTTGCACTAAACCCACAGATCGCTAATAGCACGGATGATTCCTGCCCTATAGCCTAAAAATTGGGCTTATATTGGCCGCGCTCTGGCCTCTTCTGGCATGTAGAAGAAAGAATGTTTGTTGGGGCGAAAGTGTTGCACTATAAGGCCGCATGGAATTCCAGGTAAATGATTACCAATTTTCGCATGAAGTTCGATCGTTTTTTCGGTAAATGCCTGCCTTTTGAAATCCAGGCTGGAGCGCACCAGCGAGCCGGCGCGACCTGCGTTTTTGCATCAAACTTTGAAGTACCGCCTTTTATAGAGAGGGGACTAGGGAGGAAAGAAGGGGCAATAAGGAAGAAAGAAGGTGGTTTCACATTATGCCACCATTCAGCTAAAGACGGGGTCTAATCATTTGTGCGAATCGACTAATTAACGGCCCATCGCTACCACGCACATTGACCGGGACAACTTCAACTTCCTAGCCTTCGCAGTTCTGGAGGTGATGTGAACTAGTACACCTTTCATTTCCAACTACCACTGCATTTCGCTGTTCCCCTTCCTTCTTCTCCTCCCCCTCCCGCCAAAGTTAGGATACCGATAACGTGGGCGGGTCCACCTCCGCGCCCCTCCCCCGCCTAATTTACCGCCATTGGTACGTGACGTGAATTCAAATCTGCCGCCTATCGTAACTGGTCGAAGCCGTACGCCATCGCGTTGCGCCGGTCTGCAGCTTCGATTTGGAATGCATCTCACTTATGCCTTACGCGCATCTACTGATCGGTTGCGCACAGTGTGTGCGTGTGTGTGTGTGTGGAGGGGGGGGG